CAATAAAATTCATACATTTTCGTCACCCACATTTATAGGGGGTTTCCCGGGGTCCTCTTCGCTTATTGTCGATGAATTATATGCACATCCCAACATGTTATATTGGTAAAAACAATGACGATCAACATGACGATCAGAGTTTTTAGTCATGATGATAATATGAAATTTGTAGCTAGGACGTAGCACAAGTAATTGTCACATCATCGTAGTGTATCCTTTTCTTTTCTTTATCGTGTGATTCCTTTTTTTTCATTCATGATTGCGTGGATAGGCATATCTAGGTCGGGCCTCACACTTGTCACTATCCATCACTCATCAGGATTAACCAATGAGGACTGAGATTAATGGTCAACGAAGAGAAAATACAGGACCTGCACCCTGAGACAGGTCTCCATAACTTGTAAGGATGCTGGGGGTTATGTGAATTGCTAATTCAGCACAAAGCCTCCTCGGTCGAGGAGGCTCCTTGGCGAGCATGAATGCAACTGGCCTAGTACTTGTGGAAGAGTCCCCTTGGAGAGCAGGTACACACCCTGATCACCGAGGAGGCCCGTCGACAAGCCGTCGAAATTGCCTGGCTACCGGGCGATTGATCATCGCCTGGCACCTGTCGACGATTACTCGGCTGGACCGGCAATGCTGAATCTTCTGCAGTCGCATCGCCCTCGTGGATTGCTAGGGGGAAGGGGGTCAAGGTTAATGCAGCACCCACCCTTCAGGCCGATGTCACTTGGGCACAAGGCGATGATAATTTGTTCTCAGACTTTTTGGCCCTTGTTCCCTCGAGGGCAAGGTAATCTTGCTCTTGGGCGAAATTGTTGATCAGATAAAATGGCCTTGCATCGGGAACTGCTGGCACAATGTTACATAAACACTAATTTTGGTGGTGGATTGGGTTTCATCAACAAATTGAAAAACTTACATATATGGGGAGTTTTCTCCGAGTCCATTGAGCATTTATGAGTCATACCAGACTTTCTCAGTGCTCATCTATCACTTGATACTCGAGAATATTCCAACTCAGAGTACACGGCTTCTTTCTGCCCATCTCCCTCTGGTCTCCATTGTAAAACCTCCAAAAAGTCATGACAAGAGCCTTATTTTTTGTGAAAAAAAAACTGCAAGATGGAAAATATGAAGCTGTTTTACTCGATCCCAACCCAGATAATCTTACTTGAGGGCAGAAGGTTAATTCACAACATCTAAAGGATATTGATGATCTGCATATATGTGAACTGGTATAAACAGAATCTCTTTAATGACTAAATTATTTTGTGTGTGAATGTGTGTGTTTTTTCCCAAGGGATGTACGCGTAAGGCAGTAAGAATACACAAAAGGTCTTAATTAGGCTGGAACAAACTAAACAGACTATGGTCGGTCAGATCTTTCCACTCGAGCCAAAGAACCGCACAGCCGACGCCAAAGATCAAGAGGCAAAGGTCGTCGATCAAGCTGCTGGTGATCGCAAAGTACTTCATCGCCGTCGATGCCAGAGTCGAGTACGGTCTCGGCAAGGAAAGTATGAGGGTATCGAGCAAGCCCGGGGGCGATCCAGATCCCTACCCAAAAACAAAGACGACACAAGATCATCCAATGAGCTGAAGGAAAAAGCGTTATTGAAGGGTTATGTGTACGTACCCAGTTAAACATCCATCTGGTAGCCTGGAGAGCCAGCTCGATCGTCACAAACATCCAAAACACCGGGGCGGGTCCGAGAGCTTGACGGACTGCAGGAGTGGAGCCGGAGGGATAGAGCGCCTCCCATTCCGCCTTCAGATCGACCTTCGAGCCATCGGCTATTGAGCCGGATCCTTGGAGCAGCCTCCAATAGTTCGACAGCGGATTCCACCACAGAACAGCCGAGACGACCAGGCCGACGACTGTGAGCAGATTGAGTAGGGGGAAGATACGGTCGACCCATGTCTTCTCTCTCGCTCCCTGGTTGGCCATCTGCATCCCACTCAAGCCGGCAAACGCTTGCTGCATCATCGGGTTCGGGGCACCTCCCTCAGCACTAAACATCTGATCGGAAGGCAGGCTGCCCGGGTTGGGCAGCTCTAGTCCCATCGCCTTCATCATCTGCAGCATTGGGTCTGATGCGTTGGGTGGGATCGAGGAATTGATCGACGGATCTGGGCGCAGTGGTCTTGTCGGTTGTTCTGTTAGGCTCTTCTTCTGGTTCATGCTGGCTGATGATGAGGGATGCTTGCTGGCCGCACTTGAAGAGTTCGGTGGTACATCGGTTGAATCTAATTTGGAGATATCCACGTCTGGTGGTTCAGTTGAGACCTTTTCTGATTGTCAGGTGTGATTTTTTTTTCGCCCAGATTGATCCGTATAGAAGTCTCAGATCAGTCATCCCATCATTTCCATTAATTTTGATATCATAATCTGTTAGCTTACCGGTTTCTGAATGAGGGTAGGTGTGGCTACTTTTCATTGCCCCAGTGATCTTAGCCAGTCGATCATTTCCTTTTGAGAGAATCTTCTGCTTCCGGGCTTCGGCCCTCAATCTAGCCGGGGAGGGTGCTGCTGCATCGGCTGTTTGGTTTGAGTTTTCGTCCGTCATTGTTTCTTCGGGTAGTCTTGAGTCTTGAGTCTTGGCTGGTGGTTGTTGTTGCTTTGGCTGGGTGGGTGAATTGTGGAGGAAGCTGTGTTGCGGGTGAGACTGGTGACAGGGCTGTGACAGGCGCAGCCAAGTGGTGTCTATTATGTATCACTTCGATCAGTGCCATGAGCTGTTGACCGATTAAACAACATCACTCGAAAAACCCAAGAACAACATCAAGGCAGTCACGAAGAACGACATACACAGATGGCACCATCAGCTAACATCAACCTCTACCGTCCACCGAGCCAAGTGGATGCTCACCTGAACGATTATTTCCTCAATGAAGTCAGTCAGTCAGTCATAATCCAACCTCAAATCAGATCAATAAACAGAGACTGGGATCTATGCTCATGTAGAGGAGGACTAAGTAAAATAACATGAACCTTAAGATTCATTTTCTATTCGATTACTACATACTAGATGATCCATTCCATCTCAGAATCAGCTGCCCATTCATTGAAAACCTCATCGGATGCCAAACGGGCCTATCAAGAAAAGAAAAGACTTCAACTCGGTGGAACAGGAATCAAGGAAGATCAAGAACCCAGTCGGATCACTATTCAAACTCAAAAAACAGAGCTTGATGAAGCACATCGAATTCGGATGGATGCTGCTGGATATAAAGTGGGATGGTCATTGGCTGAAAGGTTGCTTGTTGACCTCTGGTACCATTTCTTACAAATAGCTTGTTAACATGACTTCTCAATCTCATCTTGATATAGGTTGTCCAGAGATAAACCGCGGATTTCAAAAGCTGCACCAGACCCACTAGAAGTCATCAAATTTATCTGTAAAGACATGTAAGCCTAACCACCGTTCCTCGAATAGTTCAATCAGAGTTGATTTGATGCGGCTCTCTCAGTTGGACAGCGATGTACAATAAACAGGTAGACAACCTTAGGACAAACCATCGAGGGATTTACGTAATTCAAGATCACTCGTATCGTGCGTTTTTGAGGGTCAGTGTTCCCAAAGGATACGAATCGGAAATGGATGAGATCTGTAGAAAGGTGAATGACACCCCAAATGAACGGATCTGAATCGCCGTGGCTGATGTCTTCCGCCGTCATAGATGGTCATATTTCCTTCTGCAGTCATCAGAGGCGCCTTGATGAATCTGGGAATTCAATCAATAGTGTCTGTGGAGATAGCGATCCCTCAATGTGAGCTCGACACCCGTCGTCATTTCCTCCGTTTCAATCTGATGGGGACCTCTTTCTTTGAAAAAAAAAAATAGGTACTTTTCAAATCCGCACAGCTATTACAACTCCAAATCCTAATACGCCTCCAGGAAATCCACCAAACCCAGTCAAACAAAACTGAAATAAAAACCATTCCTGTTTTCTTCTTGACATCTGCTTTTCTTCTATCTTCCTCGCGTGTACGTCGTGTCCAGATTTCTGCATCTTCTATACTTTGTTTTTTTTTTTATTCCAGTAGGCTTGAATTCACTACATGCATGTGTTGAATGGTCACATTTTCATTTTTGGTCAGGCTGAGGAACTTTGTGGATCAAACAGTAAATCAATTTATATTTATGTATACAATGGTAACACAAAATACAAAGCAGTAAAAATTACAGGCTGAAGAATACCACACAGTAGAATATGATCACACAGATGATGAAGTTCTCAATTCAAAGCGTTTTCTCATAGGATACAACAAAAGGCGAATGGGGCATGCTAAAAAAACAGCAACCCACCCAAATGAAGAACTTCGTTGTTTTCCTAAGTTATAAAATGAATCTGCTTACTTTAAGCCTTGAAGAGGAACAAATTAAACAGTAATGATCAAGTTTGAGAGCCGGCCTGACATCTTGAGATGTATTTAATCTTACTTGAGATGCTTTCTTGTGGAGTTCTGGGACACCGTCTCATTTGAAATCTGGGTCCCTGCATTATCATCAAATCCCTAAGTCAAAAAAATGCATAAATTCATCCTTGATTTAATCAGGCTGATAATTCAGTGTCACCACCCACACGTAGCCGTTTTTCTGAGGCCCATAGTTTTGTGAGTCTGTTGTCTTTGACAATCTCTACATGATATAACAAGGGGTTTCTTTTTAAGAATAGAAAGACTCAAAAAGCGAAAAAAGAGGAAGAATACACAAAAAAAAGAAGAATGGTGATTACGTAGAAGACAGCAAATTTTCTATTTACATATGTTGTGCCTTGAGCATACTAAGAATAACAATCATGGCTATGGTGAAGCAGCTTGTCAAGACGGCGATACACGGCATCAAACGGCGCCACCCGGACCTGGCTTCGTTGACAGATGTGGTGGAGTGATGGTTGGAGCGTGCGATGGCTGCGTCCTGCTGGCTTGCTGCTAAGCTGGTGGGGTGAGCTTGGCCGTGCCATGGAGTGTAACCGGGAAATGGAGTACCATCCGTCGGCGGGGCCGGGGGCTGTTTCGTTGTGGAGCCGGCCGCTCGCTTCGCGCGTCGACAGACCGCACATGTTGGCCAAGAGTGTTCATTCGTGATCCACTTGTTCAGACATCTCTTGTGAATAAGGTGTTTGCATTCCCACCCCCTCATCATTTCACCTTCGTTACTCAAGCAAATTGGACACTGATCCTCGCTTGTTGCGGTGCTTTGACTGCCGTGACTGTGAGCGTCTTCAAGGTGTGAGGAACTTGAAGCTGTTCCGTCCTGCATTGCTCGGTCTGAATCCTGAATCTTAACCCGAAATTCGTCCGGGTTCATCTTGAACAAATGTTGTATGCAATCTCACTGTCAAAAATTATCAAGAATCTTTTTCCTTCTGTAACACAAGAATATCACTCACTTGCTCGCTGGCCTCACCATGATGATACGGCCGTAGCCCATGATGCAGCTCTTGCGAAACAGCTGGATCCAAATTTAATTCGCCAGGCCCGAATGCATGATACTTCTCAGTGAGCTGTCTAGCAGAAAGCAATCGTCAGCCAGGAGCCCTGACATAGCGACGGATGACGAGGGAGCACTTAACTAGAAGCAAAATCAACCACCTGAAGAAGAACATTGCCGCCCAGGATGCAAACTTGAATGGAGCTCGTTGATCGGAATTTTTCGTCGGAAGCACTTCCTTCGAAAAGGTCGAGCCTTATGGATTTTTTACGAGAAGGAGTGATGGCACTTCAGTCCGGTTATGAGTACATATCGATGTTTCATGCTGTAGCTGATGGGGGTGTGCTATATTCAAAAGCTCCATAAAAGCTCCAGTCCAGCCTAGCATATGGTCAAGTGGCGTTTCTTGAGAGCAAGGGAAACTACCGAACATGGTACATCAGCGTTTGTGAGCGTGTGTGCACAAGACAAGTTTCGTCTCAAAACCACAAAAGATCAAAGTCACCCCGGATATTTACTGATCACTTGTGTCTGGATCATTGTTTCATTTCCAGGTGGGCTGACCTCTTCTGTAGTGTACGTAGGCCTGTGTTGGCCCACTTCAATTTTGGGCCAGGGAGGGAAATTAAAGGTCAATACAAATTGTTCTATCACATGTGTTTTCTTGAGACAAGGTAGTACATCACTTCAATTATTTATCAGGAAAACTGAGCAACAGCCCCAATTCCAACTATCAGCTGAATGAGCTTGCAACTTTGATCCAACAGATCGAAAGTTATCTTACTCTGACCCACTCTCCAAATTCTTCAGCAATAAGACCACATTTTGCAGACTTTTTTTGCAAAATTTTGGGGTGGAAAAACAGGGCCACGTACTTGTGTTCAGATTCAACAAGGTAACAAGATATCTATGAAATCTGCCACTGGGGTTGATGGGGAAAGAATTTATCTAATGCAGAAATATATTATGTATATTCACACAAAATTCAAAACCCATCTTTGGCAGAGGACCCAGTTACTCTAGAAGTGAGTTTTCATGATTTTCTGGGTTCATCTGGTAATGATCTTGAAGAACTTGATAAAATATCTCTACAGTAAAAATGTCATGTAGCGAAGCTAGTACCAATGTTCGTGGAGTATAATAAAAGTCAACATCAAGCCAACCGCCACAGAAACGGAGATGATCTTAAGTCCACACTCCGATAGGAGATACGACTTGAGACATTCCGTGCACTCCGAGCTTTCGGCTACTGCGCGGTCGCCGCCGGTTCGCTCTGAATTTTGTCTTGTCGCTTGTCTCGAAAATCGTTTGACTTCGGGGGGACCCGGAGCCAATGTTGTTACGGTTGTAGACTCGGGAGGCCGACTCTGACTCTCTGCAATAGCACTCGGAGTCTCGTGCGCGTCGTGAGGTTTCCCGTCGTGCGTCTCTTCAGGATCGTCAATTATAATGTGAAGTTCATGGGGGTCCACCTTCGGAGAGAAGAGAAGGTGCGAATCAAAACATTATCAAAAGGCTTTCCCTGTCTGGAGCTATATGCACTCACTTGTTGGCTGGAGTGAGAATGGTAAGACCCCAGTGAAGCAGATAACTCCTGCGGAGCATCTGATCCAAGTTTCGGTGAGCCGTATTCGACTGCATGACATTTCCCTGCTACAAACTGCTCAGAAAAGTTGGAATCAGTAACGAGAGAGCGATGAGAATCCCATGTGATCTCTGGAGAGCTGCTCGATTGCAAGAAAGCACTCAACTAAACATAAGATTAACCAGCGAAACATTAGTCCAAGCTTTGCTGTTGATTGGAAGGCCAAGATGGATAGAAGTGCTGCCGAAAGTTGGACTTTCACGATGAGGGAGGACTGGTAAGGAGCCTCAAGGCTGTTGTCGTTGAGGCTCCCGATTGGCCCTGGGCCCTCGGCGAAGAGTATCCATGTTTCAAGAACATGAGGTTCCTTACAAGCACAGTTTCTGGCACAGGCGCACATATCACTTGAGACCAGTGTCACCATGAAACATGCACTCTGTGACGGCGAAATGCCAGGTGTTGCTGTCGTATTGAGAACACCATCCTAGTGCATCTTTAGTTAAACATTCCTGCACAGCAAAAATGAAGCCCAGGTAGGAGAGGGTTGACAGGGCCGTCTTTTGCCTTGAGCCTGGCCACCGAGTAACCCCTCCATCAGGCCGCATGCATACGCAAGCTGGCCGGGGAGCTTCTCGGAACCACAAAGTCACCTCTTTTTTTTTGGTAAATGGATTACTCGCGAATCTTCAACCAATCCACAGGCAACAAATCTCTCAATCCCATGCCTCCCCCTCCCATTCCCGATCCCCCTCCTCTACCAACCGGACAAGTTTCGCATGAACCACAAACAACGGATTCACCGCTAAAAATACTCAGCGAGATAACGAAGTTCCTGAATGAAGCTCTCTCACCAAAGAACCCGGCTAGAATACTGAATGAAAACCAAATACAAGCTCTGTTAGATCAAACAATCAAACTGAAATCTGCTATGAATATCGAGTCGCATCTGGAGAAGATCACTGAACGACTAGAACGATTAGAACGACGATCTCTTACAGTTTCTCCTCCGACACCTTTGACCTGGCCCTCAGCGACCACTACCAACAATAAGAAAACAAACCCTACCATAAACAAGCAAGGGAAATCAACACCAACGATACCTTCGAACACACAAATAAATGAATTCAAGAAATCTAGCCTAGTAATTCGCACTCCGCCTGGGTTCGTTGCACTAGATTCAGCGACAGCGACAGACATCACAACTAAGATTAATAAGATTCTAATTTCTATTGACGCCAAAATCGACTCACACCAAATTGAAATCGACGGCATTGCACGACTTCCCTCTAAAGATTTGAAGATCTATACAAGTTCACGATCAAATGCACGGTGGCTGCTCAACAACAAACACAAGTGGACAGACTTGCTTTGCACCGAACTTAAAACTTTCCCCAACCGATATCCTGTTATCTTACATGCAATCCCGACTAACTTTAATCCAACAGATACTTCACACCTGCAAGAGCTAGGAACGCAAAACCGGATCGATCCAAACCTGATTCAATCAGCTCGATGGCTCGGAAACCCAATAGAGAAAGGAAAGAAGAACGGTTCACTGGTACTTCAACTGCTAGACAAAGACATTGCGCTGAAAATCAAACGGTCCGGCCTATTTTTACAAAACGAACTATATCGAGGTGCACATTACGAACGATCAATCCCACAATGCTTCAATTGTTGGAAACTTGGACACACTTCTCAATGGTGTAAAAATTCTCCACTTTGTCACAAATGTCATGGCAATCACACATCTTCAGCTTGTGACCTATCAACACCTTCTTCCTCTACTTGCTGTGTCTGCATTTCTCATGACAAACTTGTATCGAAAAAAGCAGTTAACACATTAGATGAAAAATTCTCTCACTCCCCATGGTCTGATACTTGCCCACTAATGAAACAAGAAATCCAAAGCCGCAAGAGGAGGCGATGGAAAACATGATTTCTTTTTGTTGCAAATTTTAATTTCTTTCTCCCTCCTTTTCTTCTACCCGCTGGATTAATCACACTGTAGTCATCAAAACACTAGGCACTTATAAAATACAGATAATTTTTTGCCCATTTTGGTATACGGGTTTTTTTGTACATACAGATGATATACACTATAGTGCGGTATGTGAAATCAATAGCACTTGAAAAAAAAAAAAAAAAAAAAAAAAAAAAAAAAGCTGGCCGGGCTTCCAGGGAAGTTCGGCACCAGCTTAACAAAGTCTCCCCCCGGGCGTTGCCCGCCGAGACCCAGGCGAAGGGATTTCATGAGCTAGAGTTCGGCATATGACAGTCTGCCCCCAGTCCAGAGGTCCACAGGCCTGGAGTCAGATCTGGCTCAACGGCGGATGGCTTCGGCGGCCGGGGATGCCTTCTGGTATGATAAGCCTTATGCCGAGCTGCTCGGGCTTGCGGGGCGGTTACTTAGTCGCATTGGCGATTGTTGCGGAACAATCAAGGCAAAGATGATCCTCACCGTTTCTGGATCAAAGCCATGAAGTACTGTCGGGATGAACATGATTACGAATCTTGGTCCCTACCGAGTAAAATGTCACATTTCATTCCATGCGAGGAAGCCACATCTTGAGAGGCATTGCATTTAGCTAAGTTATTTCGCAATGACACCTCAGGCGATCAAACTCGGAACCAAATTCGACAAAGGTACATCGCGAAGCGCAATGATCCACAACATAAAAAGACACACGGGTCCTGAATCTCACAATGCACATGAAAAAAGCCTGTTCGGCCTTTTTGTCGCGTTTCCTTGTGTTGATCATTTTGATATCTCTCTCATTGTACACGTTAAGCAGGTCATAAATTTGTAGACAAGTATAGGAAAAGACATTAGGAAGACTACATGGTATGTAGATGGACAAAAGGTGTATGTGCATATGGCGCAATGTCGAAACAAACCGCACTTTTTTGATAAAAAAGAAAAACTAATACGTCATTAATGTTGCGTCTAGTCGACTTCCTCCACCGAAGGCTCGTCGGCACCAGCTCCAGGAGCGCCGGCACCAGCACCAGGGAATCCACCGGGTCCTCCGGGCATACCGCCTCCTGGCATGCCGCCACCAGCAGCGCCGTAGACCTTCATCTGTAATGCGGAAAATAAATCGAAGTTTTAGCGCGGGGGTGATGCCTATGGGAAGCTATGTAGATACTTACCATGATAGGGTTGGCGATGGCTTCAAGGGCCTTTTGACGTTCATCGTACTCCTCCTTGGAGGCTTCTTGAGAAGCATCGAGCCAGCTGATGGTCTCATTGATTTCCTTCTCTAGTTTAGCCTTGTCATCTGCCTCAAGTTTATCCTTGAGGTCACCTTCGATTGAGTTTCGTAGGTTGTATGAGTAGGACTCCAGTCCGTTCTTCGAGGCGATTCGGGCGGCAACGGCCTCGTCCTCGGCTTTGTACTTCTCGGCATCGTTGACCATTCGGTCAATATCCTCCTTGGATAGTCGTCCCTATTGCGCGGAGAGCAGAATTAAGGGTTAGTGTGTGTGAATGCGAGACAGCGTGAAAAAGGGCGTACCTTGTCATTGGTGATGGTGATCTTGTTGGATTTTCCGGTAGTCTTGTCGGCAGCAGAGACATTCAAGATACCGTTGGCATCGACATCAAATGTGACCTCGATCTGGGGGACACCACGAGGCGCGGGGGGGATGCCGGATAGCTCGAACTTGCCCAACAAGTTGTTGTCCTTTGTGCGGGCACGTTCTCCCTCGTACACTTGAATCAACACACCAGGTTGGTTGTCGGCGTATGTAGAGAAGATCTCTCCCTTCTTGGTGGGAACGGTGGTGTTTCGCTTGATCAGAGGGGTGAAGACACCACCAGCGGTTTCGATACCCATGGAGAGGGGTGCAACATCGAGGAGGAGAAGGTCCTGGGTTTTCTCGGAAGTGTCCCCGGAAAGAATGGCGGCCTGGACGGCAGCACCGTAGGCAACGGCTTCATCAGGGTTGATGGACTTGTTGGGTTCCTTCCTGAATACAAAGAAAGGGGGGTTATTAGCACGAGCGAGGAATCGTTGGCGGGATTGAGCGGGAGACTCACCCGTTGAAGAAGTCAGATACAAGCTTGATGACACGTGGGATACGGGTGGAGCCACCGACAAGAACGATCTCGTGGACATTGGCCTTGTCGATCTTAGAATCCCGAAGGACCTTTTCGACAGGCTCCATGGTCTTTCGGAAGAGATCTTGACAGAGCTCTTCGAAACGAGCACGGGTGAGAGAAGTGTAGAAGTCGATACCTTCGAAGAGAGAGTCGATTTCGATGGAAGTTTGAGCCGCAGAGGACAGGGTACGTTTCGCACGCTCGCAAGCAGTGCGCAGACGACGAACAGCCCGAGCGTTGGAAGACAGGTCTGGGAGGGGGATAAGATGAATGTTGCATTAGTACATGAATGAATGCAATTGGAGAGGGAGTCGAATAATCCACGAACCTTTCTTGTTCTTGCGCTTGAATTCAGAGACAAAGTGGTTGACGAGACGGTTGTCAAAGTCTTCTCCTCCAAGATGGGTGTCACCAGCGGTGGCCTTGACTTCGAAGATGCCCTCTTCGATAGTCAAGAGAGAGACATCGAAAGTACCACCTCCGAGGTCGAAAATCAATACATTTCGCTCGCCAGTGGTCTTCTTGTCAAGACCGTAAGCAATGGCAGCGGCGGTGGGCTCGTTGATGATTCGAAGAACGTTCAAACCAGCAATCAGACCAGCGTCCTTGGTTGCCTGTCGCTGAGAGTCGTTGAAGTAGGCAGGAACGGTGACGACTGCGAGGAAGACGTGAAACCAGGTTCAGTTGGTGGACTGCAGCTTGATGGTGAGGGGGAAGAGTGTCCCAGTGCTTACCGGCATTTTGAACGGTTGTTCCGAGGTAAGCCTCGGCAGTTTCCTTCATCTTCAAGAGAACCATGGATGAGATTTCCTCAGGAGTGAACTCTTTCTGTTCACCGCGGTACTCGACGCAGATAACAGGTTTGCCGGCCTTGGGGACGACCTTGAATGGCCAGTCTGTGAGAGGGGGAAGGAGTCAACATCACTGCCAACTGACTAGGAAGTGAAGCTGGGGGAAACTTACGCTCCATGTCGGATTGGACCTCGGCGTCCTCGAACTTTCGTCCGATCAGACGCTTGGCATCAAAGACGGTGTGATGAGGGTTCATAGCAACCTGGTTCTTGGCGGCATCACCGATCAGTCGCTCTGAGTCAGTGAAGGCGACGTAAGAGGGAGTTGTTCGGTTTCCTTGGTCATTGGCAATGATCTCGACTCGGTCATTTTGCCATACACCAACACAAGAGTAAGTGGTACCAAGGTCGATACCGACGGCTGAAAAGAGAGAAGCACAAGGGACTCAGTGAGAACAGTTCACCACGGGGGCAAGACGGTAGCAGGGGGGGAAGGACAAGGTCTACAAACCTTTACCGTTGCTGTTGTTGTTGGACATGCTGATTTTTATTTATTTACTCAAGGTGTGATAGGGTGCGTGGGGGATGTGGTGTGGTTTTGTGGTGGGTGAACTTGTTTGGATGATGGTGGGGGATGGGCCAGCGGGGGAGAGGGACAGCTTTTAAGTTCTGTCTGGTCCAGCCTGCTCCACCAACCGATGAGCCAGACGGTAATCTGATTGTACCATTTCCTTCCATCGCCATCCATGACCATCCATGACAAGTTTCAGTTGGGAGGGTTGCCCACAATCGGGCCCAAGAAGTGGGTTGCCGAGCTTGGAGCGAGCACTGGCGGAATGTTCTCGACTGATGGAGAACATTCCAGTGAGACCCAGACTGGCTGTCACAAGCTGCCTCCGCGCGAGGGTGCGCTCGAACCTGCTCGACACCTTCCGCGGACACCGGGAAATCAAGCTGTGAAAAAGCTGTGAAAGTCTCCATCCTGGATGGCCCCTGATACGGCTCACAAGCCCCCCCCCCAGTGAGAGGCGAGAAGGTCAATCTCGGGAAACCCTGACGGGGACGGGTGTCTACTTCGGGCTTCGCACCCAACAACGATGATGACATACACAGAGCCAATTTATACAGCAACCGATTCCAATTTACAGCCATGGAAGCAGCCGAATTGGCCAACCTGAGGATTCAACAGAGTTACACAAAGGAAAGAAAGATCGGTGAAGGTACCTATGCCAGCGTGTTCGAAGGTCATCAGAAAAAGTCCAACAGAAAAGTGGCCATCAAGAAGATTAAGGTTCGATTGTTCTTGCTTCTTTGCTATCCATCTGGCTCTCTCTTATGAACCTTGTGACGCGTGATTTGTTCTCTTTGGTTGGAACACGATCGAATCATTTCTTGATCGCCCAGGCCGGGCAATTCAAAGATGGATTGGATATGTCAGCGATCAGAGAGGTTAAATTTCTGCAAGAATTGAGCCATCCTAACGTCATTGGTGTTCGTATTTCCATCTCTTTTCTTGATTTTTTTCAGTCGATTTGTTTTCCGATTTGTTTGCCAACGATGGTCTACGCGTAAACTGATTCCAATCTGGCTTCTTTCATAAGTAGCTCTTAGATGTGTTTTCATCTAAATCAAATTTAAACTTGGTTCTAGAATTCCTTGACACCGATTTAGAAGCCGTCATCAAAGATCGCGAATTGGTTTTCCAAGCTTCAGATATCAAAAGCTGGATGCTCATGACTATGCAGGGGTTGGACTTTTGCCATCAAAACTGGGTTTTGCATCGTGTTTGTGATCTTTCATCTGATCTCAAGTGGCTTCTTCGCCCATGCTTCTGTTGAGCCGGATCGTGTGCGCGTAACGGACGTGTTTTTGTTTGGAGTGAACCCGTTGATTCTACTTTTATTATACTGATCCTTTGGAGTTACGTTTTCCCATTCCTAGGACATGAAACCCAACAACTTGTTGATTGCTTCAGATGGGACACTCAAGATTGCGGATTTTGGTTTGGCGCGTGAGTATGCTGATCCGGGTACAAGAATGACATGCCAAGTAGTCACTCGGTCCGTTTTTTTGTAGCACTAACACATTGGCCAACTTTGATTTTTACTAATCAATACGAATTTGTTTGTTTTCTTCCTCTCATCCAGCTGGTATCGTCCGCCGGAACTACTCTATGGCGCCAGAGCTTACTCTACCGGTGTGGATATATGGGCAGTTGGCTGTATATTTGCCGAGTTGATGTTAAGGACTCCATACCTCGCGGGGGAAAACGATTTTGATCAATTAAGCACGATATTTCGAGCCCTCGGGACACCGACTGATCAAGATTGGCCTGTTTGTCCATCTCTTGTCCTCCTACACCTTGGTATTCGCGTAACGTGGTTGGACCTTCTTCATCTTACCCTTTTCCCCAACTTTCCCTTCGGCATTAGGGTCACAAAAGACTAGCAGATTATGTCGAGTTTCCCATACAGCATAAGCAGCCGCTGGAACTACTGTTCAGTGCAGCTGGCGATGATGCTATCGATTTCTTAGAATGTTGTTTGAAGTTCGATCCGAGGAAACGGATAAATTCTAGGCAGGTGTGTAGATTTTTTTTTAAGAAAAACAACTATAAGTAATCGCTGAAAAGCTCTCATGTTTATCTCTTTCCGGGTGGCTACTCCTTCAAGGCTTTACGACACCAATACTTCAATTCAACTCCATATCCGACCAACCCTCAAAAGTTACCGAAACCCAAGGGAGCATTAGTTCCTAGACAGATTGCACCGCAAGATGGAGGAGCGGGTGGGGCAGATGGCAGGAATGGTAATGGATTAAAAAAACGAAAATCGGTGGTTGACAATTCAGGTAAAGATGTCGAAATGGAGGATCGCACGCGCAAGATTGCCAAGCGTTTGGATTTCAGTTAGATGTAATTAATAAGTGTTTGTGTCCCAGTTCTTTTTTTTTGGTTCTTGTTTGTTCAACAGCCTTGCGTTTCTTTTAGTCTCATGTAGTTTGATTTATAACGACTTTCAAATCGTGATATCATAGAGAAAGAATATTCTCCTTTGATCAGTGCATATCATTACCAACTGCCCGACGTTTAAGACCATCTGAACTTGAAAGGTAGAATGGATATGCAGCAAGAAGACTAAGACCTCATCACATAAAATTGTCAACGAAGCTGCCAAAGTTGTATCTTCTCACTTCAAGAGCGGGCTGGAGTAGTCAAGGGCTGGCATGTCTTCAGGGGTTCAGTAATTTTTGAGTGCAAGATTCAGTAGCAAACCTTTTTGTTTAGTGGATACTTAAGTCTGATGAAATTGGGACCAAAGACGTGGAGAATTTTTGAGAGGAAAATTTTTGGGGGCAACAAAAAAATGAGTTTTGTTGGACTGACTCAAGGGTCGGGAAAAGAATGAGAGAGAGCCAATGAGTTTTTTACTTAGAGGAGACTACGCGTTAAATAGTCTACATACAAGTGGTCAAACATGTGGTTGAGAAAAATGAATATCAAAATGAATAAAACAGATAAACATATGCTTGAAAAGATGTCTGGAATAAGTGTAAGTTGATAAAGACTAGACCTGGGTTCGAAGACTACAAGGATTGCAGCACTAGACAACATAACAAAATATCACGCAGAAACTATCAAAAACAAAGTAAAAATCATGGAAATTATTTATGAAATCATGTTGAATTTAAAAGTGGGATAGATGAGTTTTTTAGGGATGAGAAGAAAAAGAGATGAAATTCCAACAAAGTCACTCCCATGTCTCATAAATTCCTGTTCAATTGTATGGCATCAAATAGGCTGATATTAAGAGACCCACAGAGGAAGTGAGGGGATGTACCCCTGCCATGGGTTGATCAAGCTTTAGTGTGCATGGCACACTCCCTTTTGGGCAAGTGGGGCTTCGACATCACCCCCTCCAACTTGAAGTTGTACATGGGGTTTGCTGGGATGCCAAGCTGGCTTTATATGCTACACTGTAATTTCCTTGAGTGCACAATGTTAAATCCAATTAGCACTGAAAAAAAAAATCTGGCTTTAGGCTTGACCTAGTGCCTTTGGCCCTCCTTTTCTCAAAGTTTGGTGAGTGCTCAAACTGGATTGCAACCCCGCATTTTTCTTGCCAGATAACCAGGTGGCAGGAACAGCGCGATCTAGCTTTTTCAGGATAGGGATCATTCAGACTGTACCTGCTTCCCTCCCTGTCTGGAAAAAGTGTGCACAATGTGATTGAAAGTTCTTTCCAGAAATGCACAAAAAGGGAGGAAGAGACCATTAGATGTAAAAGCTCTGGTCCAGATGAAATCAGCTTCTGCTCACCTACTGACCTAGAAATGATTTTTATCAAGCAACGAAGTAAGCACATTACCAGATCAAAAAGGCATTAGGCATCAGAACAGTGTCTGCTACCTGCCTCCCTGTCAATTTGATTTTTATGTTCTCCACATGATCAAAGAATGGTCAACTATTTAAGGAAAGCTTTCAGGTCTGTCTGAAGGTTGGCATGGTTGTTGAAGAGCATTTCTGTTTTGCATGTGTGTGTGTGGCTCTTCTGAGCCCCAAAATATGCTTCCAACAGGGGTATCAATGATTGAACTACATAGCATTGCAAAGACAATTCTTGGCTGGGATTATGCATGTGATGTTGTTCAACTATAATAAATGTGAAAGGTTTCTTGAGAAGGCTCAACTTGCTCAAGAGATAAATCTAAGGTGATACATAAACCCCTTGCAGAGGTATAAGAGGAGAAAAAGTGCAAAAGACACCCAGCACTTTCATTGATTTTGGGAAACAGGTCTTATTATAACTAACAGCCAAAAGGGCTTTTAAGAGAAGGGTTCAGTACTCCAAGCTCAGGGTGTGATGTAGACAAGCATCACCATCAGAAGCTGCAACTAAAATATCAGTGGTGAAATAAGCACTCATGTGAATATGATAAGTAAACTCAATCAAAACAGGCAGAATTAAATCCTGCCTCAAATTTCAACTGGGGAAGGATTATTGGAAAACATATTCTCTTCTTTAGAGATTAAAACAGTGCATTTTTTTATAAAAAAAACTGCTGGTTGTTGATCTTGTTCCACAGAATATCAGACCAGGGATGAACAAATAACAAGATATCAATTTATGCCTTTACATTGAAATCAGCCAATTTGATGAGTGAGTATAGTACATGTTTTCGAGTTGGGGTACCTCGTTGGACAATATATGAAACCAAGCCCAAGTCCAACAACGAATTCTCGCCAGCTCTCCGCGGAACACGTGCTGGCTATCTGGAGAAGCCACGTTTGCTCGGGCCACTGACACCACCCCCATCAAGTCTCTATGTCAACGAAAAAGAAAAAGTTCAGTATACTATTGATTTGAATAACGTGTTTTGTGAGGCTCTTGGGAAGCGGTGATAGAGGATGGAATATGTATTCGCCTGGATCGCCGGGAAATCGTTGGTGGATGATCGAGCTTGAATGGAGTGATATCGACGATGCACGTTGCCAAGAAGAGCCGAGTGTGTCTTTTTCTTTCAGGGGTTACAATCGTCAGATTGTAGCTGATCGACGGGTCGAGCGTGCAGACCCCTCAAGAAGCGTGTTGGTGGTCTCTGATCGGGGCCTCCGGAAATCTGCCCGGGCCATGGCTCAATGTGCTTGCTCCTTTGTTGTGAGTGTCCAATATGGTGGGGATCATCGGGATCTGCAGAGAGTTTCTTTTGAGCATGCCATACATAATTTCCCATTCCCCTCAGCGGAAGAAAAGAGGAAGAAACACCGGGAAAGCATTTCTCTTTCTTTTGGCATGGAACAAAGTGTTTCTTGCAGGCTTGAAGACTCGGCTGATCATCGGCCGGCAAGTGTTCGGCCATCGAGCTGAGTCTCTCCCCGTGCTCTCGGGGTGCCCACACACACTCTCTCTCCCCATCCTGCGGGTGGGTTTCGGCCATCCAAGGGAGCTGCAAGCCTGTTATACCTTGTCCCGTAATTTAGCTCCTCTGCTCTTCTGAACCAGAATTCGATCGAGCCATCATATTTACAAAAAACGTTCAGATGAGAAACAAAGATGGAAGGGCTGCACCGCACGAGGCTCCTGGGTAAGACTAAGGACAAAGAAAACTGGCTCCACGTTCGTTGCAATCTGACTCCCGAATCCGATCGACTGATCACTAATTTTATTTACCCTCTCCTAATGATAAAGTCATACAAGCTGAAGCAAGTTTGTCTATGGTTCATTTTTTCCATTCCGTCTGCCGCGGCTGGTGCATCATATATCTGGTATATGTGTAGCTTTGCCAACTTCAACTTGTCGTTCATCCATTCCCCATCATCATCATCATCATCATCAGTTCGAGTAAGTTTTTTTCAGACACGAGACCAATGCTTTCCCCACTCTATGTAATCGCTCGATGAGACGCTAGCTTGTAAGTCCGATGCTCAGTCCTCCACTCTTACTCATATATATCACCTCCTCCCTAAGGAAAGTTAACCATCAGCTGAAACTTGAATCAGAAATCCGACTGGCTTGCCAAGCAGATCGAAGCCAAGACAGAGGAGACAGGCAAGCCTCTTCCCCTGCGTGCTCCTTCTAGTTCACCCTCTTCCACTTGTTGGGTTTTTGCTTGCGAGAGCACCACACTGCATATTGATCCTGGTGAGCTTTTGGATTGAAAGCACGCCATGTCGATCCTCTTCGGCTAAACTATTACAAAGCTTGATGATGGATTAATCTTTAGCAGGGATCGGATTCAGTCTCCGTCAAACACGCACACCATCCCAGCAACCGAAGTTGAACCCAAACTTCATTTGGTGAATTTAATTGAATCCCTAACACTCTAACAATAATCTGTAACTGGGGAAGAACTTCTTCATGAGGGTTATCGGTGTATGAGTGCGTTGGTTGATTGGCTTTGATTGCGGATGATGCTCACTTGACTGCTGCTCATCTTCTCCACATCTCCAACTTGAGCTCAGCAATACTTTCCCTCTGACTGGGGCATTTCTCTGAGCTCACAGTCACACCATTGGAGCCCTATCGGAGCTGAATGTATGCAGTACTTGTGTGATGACCAATCTCACCAGTGAACCTGTAATACGATTTCTCCGAGGATTCCTTCCCTTTTGTTCATCGAAAGATTAAAAAAAAAAAGAACAAAGAAACAAACCGCAACTGCCTTTATCTCTCCAAACCAAAGCAACCATTACCAACCCTTCTTTTGAGTCGCCATCCTCGATCGTTGATGATGTGATTCCCACCACTCAGCTCTAACAACTTCGCTCTCTTTCGATCCCTGCTGCCCTTTGGACTGATTTTTTTTAGAGAGAAAAACAAGAAGCTAGTCTGCAAGTCTCGGGCCTGCTTGTAGCTTGGCTTGGCTTATCGGGATCTACCCTATCTCATCATCTTCTCCATCTCTTGCGTGTAAGCTTGCTACTAATCTCTTCAAATAACACCATCGCTCCATCCGCCTCCAGGATATAGGGGTCAGATCCGTTCCCGGATCTTAGGGCTGACCGTAGCTGGTGATTATCTTCAGAATCGGGATTGGCTACAATTCGAAGACTCCTTTTCAGAGGCGACAACCTGTAGGGTTCTCCTGTTGATGTCTGCATAGCATTCTCCATCAGACACGTCCCGGATCCGGAGCTTAGCAGCCGCACTGTCGATGGCAGAAACAGATGGTCAGCACTTTGTAGTTTCATCATCGCTTCCAGCCATCCATCACACCATCCCATCCCCCTCCTCGGTTAGGGTTCTCAAAGTTGAAATCGGGCCGACATACGGCTCGTACATACTCCCGTACATACACAATTACATCGCTTTTTTTCCATGCGCTAATCCATACCCGTGCAACAAACCCCGTTCTAGAAGCATACCCCCGCCTACCCCCGCAGAAAAACAGCTTATGTGTCGTATTCTGTTGTATGTAGTCTTGTATGTATGTTTGTATGCTTCAACTTTGAGAACCCTAAGTTTGCCTTAAAAGTAGCTGTCTGAGTGAAGAACTCATCCCGGGTTCAGGCCAATACACCTCCTCATACAACAAGAGATATTTGTACATATACATACATCTAAATTATCTATAAAAAGACGGCCTGCCCTCTCCCTTCCAGCTCCTCTATAACCATGTGGATATTGTTAAGATGAGAATAATAATACAATCAATCTTTTGTTGTATTTGTTTATCCTAAACAGTCTCTTCAAGCCTACCAGCTCAGGCCCGGCCAGAGGACGAGCGCATATCCCTCTCATGTGCTACTTCCTCCTCCCTGCTGCTCCTAGCAACTCACACCACTCTAACCAACCACCACCACCACCAGGACCAGCTCACTGGCCAGCAACCTGCAAGTAACAGACTCACATTCCGACTGAGTAAACTTCTGAGTCGCGTTGGAATGTCTATCTCCATCGACAATCCACTCATCTTCCTCTATCCTAAACCGGTTTCGGCATCCGAACAGTCCCACTTGACCAACATTCCTAGTAGAAATCATCCTCATAATAATCATAATAATAATAATCACAATAATCAAACTACAAATCTCCTCTCTGGGCCTCAGAACCGACTCAGAAGCCATCCGCAAGCAGCCCTCTTCCCATCCTTCCGTCCTCCCTCTCCCCAGCCCCCGCCGAGCTCCGATCATCTGACCGTCCCACCGTCGATCGATGAACTCGACAGTCGCAGCACCATCCTCTCAGGTTCCTTGATACTCAAATTCTCCAAGCCTAAAGAAATCAGGAAGATCATCATATCCCTCTGCGGCCAGTCATACATAGGCTTCAACGATAGACCCTACGAATACCAGACCATCCTCGCCAAGGAACTCGAGATCGACTTGGATGCACAACTCCTAAGCAATCCTGAACAACATCCCAGCCCAGGAAGCATCCACTACAACTCTCAATACAAGACTTATATTCTTGACAAGGGCAACTATCGCTTCAACTGGTCTTTCATCCTACCTCCAGATCTGCCCCCCTACGAGAGAGGTCAATTTGGAAGGACGACCCATAAGGTTGTCGCTAAGGTCAAACTCGGCTCCGGCCTAGGCTTGGGACTGAAATCCGTCGGAAAAAATCTCACCTCGATCCTCTTCGGCGTCGGAGGCGGCGGACATGAGATCGAAACCGAATCCTACTTCGTCGCAATCAGTAACCCTTCGGGGAGCAACGAAGACCTCAGTGAAGACCTCGGCCTCAATCTCAACGTCACTGAGCTATCCGAACAGTTAGGAGTGAGTGAACTTTGCGCTTGGTGAATTTGATGATTTTTTAAAATAATAAAAAAAAAGATCATTGGATTCAAATGGTTGATGATATGTCGATTATGTTATGTATGAACAGCCGTACACGTTATCTGCGAGCTCTTGTTACTTTACCGTCGCTGGTCTTCTGTCGTTCAAATTCAAATTGCAGGAGATCCCTCAAAGGAAGAAGATCATCAAAATCTACAAGATCGTCTGTCTTATCAAACAGCAGTATCGGTTGATATCTATCAAGGATAAAGACTCGCGAACCGGTGGACCCGCCGAATCTTGGCCACCCCCTCAACGCCGGAAGGTTTTCGTTCTCGATCATTCCAATGTGCTCGATATCAAGCGAGTTCTGCCCAATGGACAGCCATTGGAGCCATCTGATCAACCGCAATCGAGTCATCTTGCACCAGACTGTCTGACCCCGGCTTTCAACGTCAGTTCCAGCGATTCAGCCGGTCGGGCGTCTTCCTCTCATCGTCCCACGGGCACCATCCAGCAAACCTCTCCTTCGCAATCCCGCTCCCGATCACGCATCCGAGGGTTACTGACTAGCCCTGGTAGAAGTGGCGAGAATTCAGGCGGTGAACATAGTGATCAATCACGCCTTGGGAATCATTCCTGGAATGGGCTGACCTCCATCCGACTAGGACGCCGGCGCGAAGAGCCTGCCCATTCGGAACCACAGCCAGCAGCTCGAGAGCCACGACTGTACTCAAGCCGCTCCGCCGACCGCTTAGGAAACTCTTCTACACCCGCCAATAACAACTCGACTCCCACCGACCCGGGTACTGCCGCCGAGAATGACCATCCAAATGGCACAGCACCTCAGACTACCGATACTGGATATCAGAGGCCACGCTACCCCAGTCATCATTCCGTCCTCCCAAGACCCGGCGAGCAGTCCAGCGGTGCAGCAAGCAACCGCCATCACGTCATCCCCAGGGAGTCCCAAGATGGCCAGCGCCACCCGGAGGCATTCGAAGCCTTCCACCTCGAACAGGTCTCGCCCCCCTCAGTCGGGCATCCCCACCGAGGAAGACAGCAGGAGAATGCGCGGGCCGGCCGGACGGCGAGGGACAAGTCGCGCACCTCCCGTAGCCGGGGTCGCAAATCCCGCCCGGAACACGGCCCTAACGAGTCCCAGCCGAATCCCGACCAGGAGATCCCCTTGGTCACCCTGACTGATGACCATCTATCCTGGGAGGTTGAACATATTGGGTGAGCTAGTGATCATTTCTGCTACAGAAACCCTATCTCGTTTAGACTCACTTCGGCCTTTAATTCCCATCGATCTCTCTGTAGTCGACTACCGACTGATGACATCATTCGACCCTCAACCATTCCTGGCACGCAAACAAACATACACATCTTTGTGAGTTTTGTTTTGTAAGACAAGAGCTCGAACTTGCAGCATAATCCAATGAGCCCAACCGATGCCAATCAACAGACTTACTTTGTTTTGTTTTGTTTTGTTCTTCAGCATACCTTGTTGTTTGAAATCCATTACAGCGTCGAGGATGATAATAGTAAGACTAAGGTTCCAGATTCGAACGATCCCGGGGGCTCGCACGGGCCTAAGAAATCGTCTGCCGCCGAGTGCAACTCGTCTCCGAATCCGATCACACGGAAAGTGCTATCGATCAGAAAACCTGTTCAGATTTCTTCGTGAGTCTGGATTATTCTCTTATTGCGGTGAGAGGGTGGCAAGTAAGAGGATCCATGCTGATCGTTTGGAGTGGAAAATGTTGGGCTCTTGTGTAGCTGTTGTTGTATGGTCGAGAGCATGGTCTTGCCTCCGTATTCTAAATTCGACCCCAATGCTCAATTTGTCCAACATCCAACCCCGTCACATGCCGCACGTATGTTTAAATGTGTTTGCGGGATGTAAGTCTCCTTTTGGGTTTTGTCATCCCGTTTAGGGATTGAAGAAACGAGACAGGATACTGACGAACAAATCTATATCCAGGTCGACTGATGTTCTCCTGAAGACGCAGAATCCGAAGCCCTCTCAGCCCGGCCCTCACGGCGACCAACAGCCCGAGACCGCCGCCGCGTCGTCCTCCGCCGCCTCCTCCAGCTCCGCCGCGTCCTCCGTCACTACCTCCACCCTCACCGTCCGCCCGAGCTCATCCTCCAATTCCCTCAGCCCATCCACCGACCTGCTTCTGTCTTCTTCCATCAATCATCAACCCTTGACCGGACATCTGAACTGCAACATCAATAACTTCGACAATTGCTTCATTAGCATCAAATGAAATCCTTCCGTCTTCCATCCCCTCTCCTTTCTCCGTTACTCTATCTCTCCATCTCTATCTCTCTATCTCGTATTTGCACTAGGATATTTATAGAGCTAGGCATACTTGAATACTTTTGATCGATTGCCAACCCGGCCGTGCGTTCAAAAGACGAGCGATACGAACCGAAACCCGCCCCTCACCATCCCTTTTTCTACATACATACATACATACATAGAACGATTTAAATATGAACCTTGCATCTCATATATTATATATACACAGATGCACATAAATACATCATCATAATCATTAAAAACAGATTGCAGTGTGATTAGTGGCTTGTTATGATCCTATTTATTTCGGGAGTCTGGATCCTGTACATACATACATACATAAGTTATCAACTCCATATGCTTGCATAAACAAAAAACAGTAATGTATATATATATATCGAAACAAGGTAGTCATTGAGAAAAGGTGTTGCTCCAAGGTACTCAGATATGCATATGAAGTGTGTGTGTGGGGGGGAGGGGCTATGGGTCTCAGGACTCTATAACATCCACTTACACACAGTTGTGGTCTCTTGATTGGATGGTTGATTGAAATTTTCTGTACAAGTATATGTCTGATTGAATTCTCCCCCTCTCTCTCTGTCTTTATTGTATGTATCATCTATCTCTGTAGATCATCTTGTAAAAGTGGTGGTCCTTTGCATGGGTTGCTCAGTCCGTCCGACTCTGGGCTCTCATAAATTAACAATGAACAAATCTTGTTTGGGGATCCACATTAATGGACATCCACAGGCTAGGAGATACTGATCTCAGATCTCAGATCTCATGGGTCGGTTTGGTCATTTTTGCAACAACAGATCTGGGAAACTATGTAATTGGGCACCATATTTTTTTAATTATCAATGTGTGTGGTACTCATGACAGCCTGGTTGTTCATATGTTCACATTCCATTTTAAACAAAAAAGCATAATACTGAGATCAACAACAGACCCAGGCCCAATCAAAACATGCTCTGATATATATATATAGCTTGGGTGCATGTTATGATGGGCTTTTTTTCCCAAACAGGATGATTGTTATAGGGGTGCTTTTCTTGCACCAAAGTAATTGTGCAGTGGTAGCACTTTTTTGGTGGGTTTTTGATACTACAAGCTGCAATAGGGGACGCTAACAGTGCTACATGAGGGCCAGAGTTCCACTGACCAGAGCATTGGCAAAGCGGAGCAAGAAAATTTTGGGGCCCTGTGCCTGTAGTGTTGGCACAGATGCATCAGGGTTCTGATGTGCTACTGCTCTCAATTCTAGCAGAATTATTCTATGTTACACTGTGCTAATGCTACCAATGCTGGGCTGATACGGTTACTTGTATTAGCCCAGTTCACAATAGCCAGTCATCAGCAAAAATTTTAGCTGTAATCAGCAAATCATAGATACTTAAAAACACATTCATTTTTGAATGTTTAATCCAGAGTCCCCCAAATTATTCCAGATCCTTCCAAAAACAATTGCTATCAGCAACTTTTAACAAGGTGATCAGCCATTGGAACTGGCTATTGCGGACCGGGCTATTAGTAAAGCATTGTCAAGTACCAATTGTTTGGTACTTTACAATAATATTGTTTTTTTTTTTTGATAACAATAATGTTGAGGGATCTAAAAAAGCCCTTGGTAACAGCAAATAATACAGTCCTTTTCTGGTTGATACAGCCTGTATCAGGCTGTAACATATGGGGAAGTATTGAAAATTGATATTATTTTTTTTCAATTAAAATAATAAAAAATAGAAAAATTGACAGGCCAATGTGTTACACAAAGGGGCTGAATTATTGTATTGTAATGTAACCCATTGGCCCACTGTAGACGCTACCATTAGCGCAACTGGCCCAGTGCTGATCTTGCTTACAAGTATACATACGTGACAAACCCTTAAGTAGGCCTAGTGTTCCTCAGAAAAATGGGATACTGAATTAGGATTCAGAATTTTTCAAAAAAATGAAACACAATTTGGAAAGTATTCAATGAAGACTCAGTCAGAAAGTTATTCTGGTACTCTTGAGTCACTTGATCAGAATGTGCTTGGATTCCAAAATACATCACAATAACTTGAACCTTCACTGAGAGCAACAGCATCAGTGCGGGTGTAACTCAAGGAGTAGCAGAGTAGCTTAATCCTGGATTAGTCCTACTCTGGGATTTCAACTGCATTGGTGTGGTGTAAACCTGGGAGTAGCCAGGGGTTGCATTTGTGTTTGTGTGTGTGAATGGCTCTCAATCCAAGAATTGGAAAGGAGCAACTTTGATATCCTGATTAGCTCAAATCCTACTCTGGGAGTAGTTTATGGGACCGGTGTGGTTGAAGGCTTGGAATAGCTTGGAGTAGTTGCAATAATCCACCCTTAACCCACCATCCAATGTGGTTTCAAATTCTATGAATGTTTCAACCCAAACAGAGGATGTTAATTTGAATGCCAAGTATATCTTTGAGGGGGGTCTAACAGCCGGGAAAGACAACTTCAGTATTCAGTACTGTCCAAACACCTGATTGACTGGAACAAATTCAAAAAAAGTTTGAATTTGGCAATGATCAGACATGCTGGTGGAGTCAATAAAAAGCGGAATCAAATGATTAGAAACACAAGCAAAGACTAGCAGGAAGGTTTTGATTCTTATTCCAAGAGGAAGAAACAAAAATTTAAAGTGATGAGCAAGACTAGAAGGGTCTCATAACCTGTTGAGGGAAGCTAGGTTGACTTAAAATCAGGGAGTGGGGTGTAGAACTGATAGGCATAGTAGAGGCATAACCAGCTACAAGCATATGTGAACCACATACAGGCATCTCAACAAAAATTCAAGACCACATATTTCAATAAACATGCTGTCTAATAGTTCAGTGCAAATTCAGATAGATAGTCCTAAATTATTGCAGATATCCAAACAGGGCTTCTTGCTGAGTAATGATTCTTGATGTGATGAAAGCTCTTCCCAGGAAGTGCCCAGCTAAATGTCCAAGTTGGATGTCGAATCAAATCAGATCAGATTTTCATGCACTTGACCATCAACAGTATATGAACTGTCCTGGAAACATGCTTCAGATTTTGGCTGTCCAAACAGTGAGTGCCTCCCGTTGAATTTCCTGTATGTGTTGTTCTTACAAATTTTGTTGCAATATGTTTATTGGCCCAAACAATATGCATTACTCCTGTTTTAAGGGGATGGCACTATGTAAACAGTAAATTTTTAAAACACGTTGACACAGCAGATCTGTAGGGCTTATATCCTCAGTCAAGAAACCATTTCTATATTGAATTGAATACAAAATCAAATCAAACCCATATAATAAAGAATGAAGATTAAGAGATGTTGAGTTTTCACCTCTTCTTCCTACTCTTCCCCAAAATCAGTCCCTCTTTCCTTCACTTTTTCTACCTATTTTCTTTCTTGAATCTTCCTGAAATAGACTGAATTATAGTTCTCCATGGCTGGCTTTTTGTTGAATCTTATGCATCTTAGTAGTCTAATTAGAACTCACAATAGCAATCTCTCAACAACTCCTGTCTTATTGAGTGACTTCTTTCTTTTTCTATTTTCATTATTTGATTCATTAAAAGCTAATTATTTGGAATTAACGCCTCTGAATATCTGTGATAGAATTCTTGATTTTTCTTGATTAACTTTTTCTTGTCTGACTAAAAGAGACTGAGAAGTCCGGCTAAGATTGTTTCTTCCAAGACTTCAAATTGTTCTGTCTCTTAGTTTTTATTCAACATTCCTTTTTTATTCAATTTGCCTCAACCACAGGTTAATCACATGTACTTAGTCTATTTAATCTGGCTATTTACCTGTGAATGAAAATCATTGGTTCTTTCATTCATTTTCCGTGAGCCTTTCCCAAAAAAGTCTCTCATCCTTTTTTGAGCCCCTTTTCTCAAACTCCTCAAAAATCCTTCCCCTCTCGAGCTCAGAATTTCAACAAGAGAATTTCTACAAGGCTTTTGAGTGTCTTGGCAGAATACTCATGCCAGTATTTCATTTGGAAACATCTCACAATTCATTTGCACTCCAATGAAATTTGAAAGTATCTTGAGCAGGATTCTAGACCTGAAACATCATTTTTTCAATTAATGATCATTGTACTTAGATTTTCAAACACTGATCCAGGAAATTCTGATTGAACCAGGTCAATATTCCTGCAGCTTTATGTTCCCCAAGTTTCATACACCAAAACAGCTTGTATGATACTTGTTTGAAGGTAAATCTTGAAAACTTGACCTGGGTGCTACACCAGATTATACATATCCTCTTTCTGTATTGAGAAGAAATAAGATCAAAGGTATTCCTCATAAATAATTTCCAGTGTCTTCCCAAATAAAAAAATATCACCACTATCCAATCAATTTTGTTCACATAGAAAAACTCTGAAATTTCCTCATATTAGCTAAATATCATGAAGCATTCTTGTGGGAATCAGCTCATAGCCTCTTTGGTATTTTTTTGCATCTTGAAAGCAAGCCATTCTATAGATTCTATTGGTGATTGGTTTTTTCAATTTTACTTCAGATTCATTTCTGAGGAATAGAATTTCATTCTGATTTTATTAGCTGATGGGTCTCCAACCTAAATTTACAGTTACAAATAAATTAGCCCGCAATGGTGAAGTTACAATAGACATTGGTACCTTTGAACCAGATAGTGGAATGCTATCTCCTCAAGATTCATTAAATAAAGGAGAACAAGACAAACTCAAGAAGTATGCAGGGAGTGTTCCACAGTTTAGAAACCAACAAGGAATGTTTCCAGATTTAGGTGAGCTAAAGAACATGTTCAGTGTGCATCTCATTTAACTGAAGTCTTCTTCACACTGATTATTTGGAATTGTAACCTGGAAATAACCATAAAGGTCACCCACATTCAACATTGGATGATTTCATTCCCATTCAGGAAAGCCTAAGTGTTATACAAGATCAATACGCAAAAATGATCCTTGAGAAGAAGAATGAAAGAATTCAAGATAAGATAGAATTCCTGGAAGATAAAAAGCAATTCAACTTGAAAAAAGATAAAAAGAGGGTTACCCATAGGATCTTCAAAAATAAGAATATCAAGAAGAAGACAGAGTTTGGAATAATTATTGAAAAATTACAATCTATCCACTCACTCATTTTGGGTGAAATGAAGAAAAGAAAAGGAAAAGAAAGCCAGCAGAATTTTGATTTTATGAGTGTTGATAATATCCAAGATTCACAACCAGAATTACTCCAGACAATCAAACCAGCTTCCCCTCATGAATTATTTTCACAAACAGTAGCATTAGATACTATCCCTATCCATAAGGAAATAGATGAGGTCATGAAGAGAAGGGGCTGGGAAGGTCTGACAGTGACTTTGAATGAACTTTTACAAGAGATTGGAACCTTCAAACTGGAGGATAAACATATTCTTGACATTGAGAAGAATAAAATTGCTTTGAAACTTCAAAACAATATCTTTCAAACAGTTGATTTTATGTATCAGACCAACATGTCTAGCAAAGAAGATTTGATAAAATTCTGCAAAACAAAGAATACAATGGAGATTGCTGCACTCAGTATGGTAAAAAATTTTCAATTTGACGATGGGTTTCATTTGATTAAGTTTCCCTCAAATAAAGGAGTTCTCAGGGACTGGAGATTTTCACATTATAGGATGTTTCTGGAATGTAAGATAATTACCACCAAAATTAACTTCCATGTAAGAATAATTAACTGATCTTTTTCAAATAATCTTTGAATTGATCTTACTGTTTATTCATTCCAAAATTCAATTCAGTTCTTGATAAAAGGGATAAGAGATATTTTGAATATCTATGTCTGAAAACGTTTTTAGATCTGAAATACTTTTCCCCAGAGGATTGCCCCACCAAATTCATATTCAAAGATGATATGTTATTTCATACAATGGAAAAATACAGTGCTATCAAATCAATTTCAAACAATATATTACCTGCAGGATTTCAAAATAATGATGAACATTATCTTCAGATCAAAGAAAACGTCCAAGAACTCATGGATCTATTCACAGCTGATTCAGAGCATTCAGATCTTTATTCTGAAGAAAGAAAAAGAAATGCATTTTTTGTGCTGGAGTTCCTGAAAGAAAACTATGACAAAGGCATTCTTGAACTGAAGACTGGATCAAAATTCAAGAAAGAGTCAATTTCAATTTTTTCTAGTCAAAAGATAATTGAGCACTTGAACAACATTGAAAATTGTTTATCCCACAAACTTTACGCAGAAGTTAGAAATTGGAAACCAATTTATTGGAATCAGCCCTCTTATTACAGAAGCCAAAATGATGACCTGGATTCTATTGAATTAAAGGCCTGGTTTGGTCATGACAAGAAGAAGATTGAAGATTTTCTTGATCAAATTAAGATGGTCGAAAGATATTATCAGTTCATTCTTTCCAACAACAAGCATATTTTATTAAAATTGAATTTGGAAAACAATTGGTACATCCAATACATCAATTATAAGAAACATGAAATAAAAAATCAGATTTCAGATCTAAAACGTTGTGTTAAGGCATTCATTTCAAGGTTTTACTTTTCAGTTGAGAACTCCAGGGAATAAATCTCAACCTATTAGTTACACATCCTGTTATCTTTTCCTGTGGTGTTCAGTTTTTTTTCTCCTGGTCTTCTTTGAATCCTTTACTCTGATTACACCCCCTGTGACATATTTGTAGGTATTCATTCCAGGCCAGAGGATGTGCAAGGAATCTTTCCTCATCCTTCCATTTCCTCTCTGGCTGTCCAAGGCTAGTAAAACTTTTGGTTTCATTGTTTTCTTCTTTACTGCATGGTAAATGACTGGCCTGTATGGGCCTTCAGGAGGGATCATTATTGATGAATAGTACAAACCCAGTTGTGAAGGAAAAGAGATCCCCTTTTCACCACGTGGAACAGAAATGGTCATGCAAATTGATGAGGGAACATCCCCTTCTTGACAGTTGTCAGGAAACCACTGTGCTTTGATGGTTGGCAAGAGTATTTTGTTCTTGATGATCAAGCACAAACCAGGTCTTCCAGGAGAGATGTTGAACAGACATGTAGTATACAGGACATCTTGATGATGGCTGGTGTGCCACCCTTCCTTGAGTTAAGGGTTTGTCCTGACCCCTGCCAAAATTTGCATGTGTCAAGCAGGGGTTGAGAGTTTGCCAAGCACACTCTAGGTTTGGCACAGTGGGCTTTGCAATCACTGTTGTGCCCTTGAGATTTTTTGGCCCAAATTTAATGCGTGCTCATGCAGCTAACCTGAGTGCCACAGCTTTTATGTGGCTCATCCCACACACTGCCTCAGCTAACTGCTTGGACGTGCCTGTCCAACAAGTCATTGGACCGGCCTGCCCAAGCAGTTCTTGTCCAACGAGTTGTTGAGCTGGCTTGTCTGAGCTGTTGACGGGCAGAACAATCTGCTCGGACTTAATGGTGGAAAATGGGTCTCAAAGAATGAATATGAAAATAATAATGATCAACAAGATTATAAAATTTGTAAAAAGTAAAGAGGAGAAAATCACAAAAACTGACAGCTCTATTAATATTTCTTTCATGAAAGGATGAAATCTCCAAAGTGATAATATGGATCTGGAATGAATAATAAGAAGTGAAAATTTGAAAGAAAAAAAAAGCTCTAACTTTTTTTTTCATATTCATTCTTTGAAACCCATTTTTGACCATTCCACAAACTCATGTGACTTGAACCTTTTGGGTTCCCGCTGTGGAGCTCAAAGCAGATGGCTATAAACATCTGGGAGGAGACTTTACCAAAACAGGCCTCAAAATCCTATCTTGCTCAGGCCGAATTGGTGCTCCTGTCTGTATGGCCCTCTCACCACAAGAGGCTTAGTTAAGCTCATGTGAATCATTATTTGCAGTCCTTGATCAGTCCTCATAAAATTGAACTACCTTCACTCTTTGGGATTCCCAAGCCAGATCCTTTGCAGACTACATAACCTTTAAAAAAATAAGCTCTCAAAAAGAAGAAAGTTGGATGGATACATTGATTTTTTATTTATTTTTTTGTTTGAATTTGCTACTTTTTCTTCTCTAGAAGGAAAAAAAAGAAAAGAAACATACACAAATGGATTCAAAATCATAATTGTTTTTTTTTTTGAAAAAAAAAGTACATTTACATTATAAAGGAAAGGAAAAGGAAAGAAATCCCAAAGAAAGAAAGAAAAACTTTATTCAAATTGGTGTAATCGCGGCTACCTCAGATAAATATGTATATATATAAATATAAAAGAAAGAAAGATAATAATAATGTTACTAGGTGTACTTGAGTAAGATCAATCCTCCCTCCAAGTGATCACAGCGTATTCTCCCCAACGATCACGATGGATGAAGGAGAAGACATTAGGGGAGGCCTTATTGAACCTAATTTCGCAGAGATAGAAAGTACGTTTGCCGGCGGTTCCGGACTGGTCGGTCTCGATGATGCGCGGGCGGGTAGGGAAGCGGAGCGGGAAGTCCGAGTCGCCCGACCAGGTCTTCTCGATCGTCTGCATGTCTTCGCGCCGCAAAGGCACATCGAACCGGGTCACCGTGTATCCCAACGTGACGAGCTCTCGTCCATCGTCGTATATCGCCCGTCGCATGAAGTTGTCTCCGCCCAGGATCCGCGCCGCTTGTTGTAGGAGCAGCAAATGGTTCAGCGCATTGTCCGGCCTGTCAAAGCTCGTCTGGTGTTCTCGTGCTACATGGTCATCCGCGCAAGGCATCTGTTTGAGCATCTCTCTCCCTCGGGATCAGCGGCGCTCAAGAAGCTCACCAAAGGCATCCGTCCATCCGTGCCACAGGTGGTGAAGCGAGAGGAATGGAAAGCCGGATTGGAAGAAGCCCGTGCCATCGCCGGGCAAATCCAACTGATGAAGGGAACTGATTTGAGTGACGACGGTTTCCTTCGTCTTACCATGTCCAGCCGCGCGTGCTGCACTGTGTTTGATGGTAACAATTGTATCAAGATTGAGATCAGTTTTTCAGGTAATGTTTTGGTAGGGTCAAGAAAGATGAGCACTCTTACCACAGAGAGTACATCTCATCGCCTCCAAACACATCCTTAGTTTGTTCCACGCAGTCGGCATGGATCTTGAGCATCTCCTTACACAGGCCTCGGGATATGATAATCCCGGCCCCGCCGAAAGCCATGTTTCCAAACTGCTGGATCTGAGAGACTCCCTCGGAAGAAGCGCCCACTACCATACATAGAAAAAAAAGAATTAGCAGCCCGTTTTGTAATGTGAGCTTGCGAGATAGATAGATAGATGGATGGGACTTACAAAACCAAGACTGGCTGGGGTCATACTTGCTAAGTTCCCGCCGAAGCATCCTTTCGTCGGTCCACAGTGTATCGTCATCGCCCACGATGTACCAGAGCGGCTCCCTGTCGGCCTGCCGGGCAGCCTCATTCATGTCCCGCAGCATCCCAAAGTATCGCAGCTCGTATCGGGCCGATTGGCCGAGCCAGCTGGTCGTCAGGAGCACGTTGTCTAGGCCGCGTTCAGTCTTCAATTTCTCTGAGAGCACGTTTGCGGCACTTTGTGCCCCTCCGTCATGGTCCTCTTGCGGGAGAACTACTACGGCCAGAGGTGCTTCGCCTTCGTCGTCTTTCGCACCTAGCCAGACCGGCCATAGCTCTGAAAGAACACTTGCTCGTTGGGCTGTTGTTGCCATACCAAAGATTCTGCAAAGTGTGGGTGTCAACAAGATGTTGGGGCGCGACTTGAAGGGGGAAAAAAAAGGTCTTACAGGTCGGAGGAACTGGGAGCATGGCTTTCGAGTTGGATGACCCGAGGGAAAACACGTAAGCTGAGGGGCTTGGTAGCTCTGAGAAGACGGCTTGAGGTCAAGAGGATGGGCCAGCGCAAAGGATTTGTCCAGGCGATGGCGGAGGCGAGGGAGGCCTTGTACCATTCGACGGGTGCGTCGAGTCCGAAGAGACGAGGATCATACTGGATTTCGACGGGCTTGATGACCACCGGGCCTAGGGAGTGCGACAGACGGAAAAACTTGGTGGATGAGAAGGAGGGCTTTCGGAGAGCCTTGGGCGTAAGGAAGAAGAGGGAGGCGGAGATGGAGAGAACGACGAGGACGGAGAGGATCCGTCGTTTTAGCGTCCGTACCGCTCCCGTAGGTTCCGGCCCCAGTGTCAGAGTCGAGGGTAAGTGGAAGCTGCTGCTGAGCTTGCCCATGATATTCCCGTGTGAGAGAGCAATTTCTAGTATCTGATTGTTTTCTGATTTCACGAGAATTTAGCAGCAGCAGAAAAATAAAGTAGGTATCATTAGAAAATCTTTATATATATTTATTCAATCCTTTATTGGTGTTGAAAAGAAATCTGCAGGCGAGACTGGGTGAGTATAAAGGAAAAGGGATTGGACAGAAAAAAAAAAAAGGCCGTTGAGAGCCGAGCCACGTACCTCTTTACTTACTTTGAATTTTTTGGGTTTTTTCTGAGGAGTTGTAGCTAGGAGGTTCTGATGAGCTAATGGGGAGGTGGGGGGGTGAGTCTATGGCTATGCTTATGAGGATCAAAAAGCCGAGAAGTGTTGTGGATTGTGATATTCACAACTGTGGAGTTTGTCGAGAGAGACAGCGAGCAGTCTTAAGCTTGTGGTGGAGGGGGTAGAAGGGACCAGCGACTAATTTTAGTAATTTAAATAAGAGTGAGCTTTCTTGCTTTCTTGGACCCTCTCTTCTCTCTCTCTCTCTGTCTGTCTTCCTTGTTCTTGGTTGGTTCTCTTTCACAGTTTGAATTGAATTGCTGGCCAAGTCAAAGCTTGAAGAGATACTGAACGGGATCGGTTTTGGGTTTCTCTTTTTTTTTTTTCAGATGGAGTGATGAGTTGCACTGTTCCGGTCCAAGTCGGTGATGGTCGGTTTCAAGCTGTAAGATTGAGTTTAGATCGAGACGAGCAGGATCAAGACAGTCGGGCTGGAATTGGATGAAAGAAGCCTCTTATAACAAAAGGTGAGATCACATTGGTCCCCATCGAGAACAAAGAAGAAGCAGAAGAAGAAAGAAGCAGAAAGGAGAAAGATGACAAAGATAAGAAAAGAACGTAATGGGGATGGATGTAGAAGCTCAATGATTTCATAGACCAATGACGATTAAAAGGTGCGGAGGATCAGCCAGGTTGCGAAAGACACCGGCGAATGTATCCGCCGGAGAGAGCCACTCCCAGTGAGTTGGTGTACATAGTGGGATGTACAACTTGAGCTGTCCGAGCGATTACCGTGTGGGGGAGAAGAGGACGGACGAGCTGGATCGATGGATAATCATCAGCAATCCATACTGGTTTCTGAGGTGGAGGTCCATTCTCCACTCGAAATGTGTCCTCCAGTACATAGCAGCAGAGAACAATGCTCGGATTTCCTGATTGCAATCCTGTCGAGCTGCCCTTTGTCTATTGCGTTGATGGTTCAAGTCTGATGATGGATATCGCGGCACATTATAACCTGTTCAGGACTGTTTACGACTGTCGAGAGTGTCGATCAGAACTTACTCGATCTCAAGTGTCAGAGGAAGCCATCTTGGCGCTCAAGCTTGTGAGACCATCGAGCCAAGCCAGTCACATAAGGGATCTTGCCCTCATCTGGGGCACTCAAGATACTACTGCAATATCAGCGATGATGAGGGGGTTCTGATGGGGTTCATGATGGTATGAAAAGGCGATTTGACCAGAACAGCCCTTACCTCGTTATGTTTAGATCAGATCAAACTTCCTGCCACGAGGCTCGCATGTGGACCATGACGAAATCTGCCGATCTTCATCGACGGTCGAAGAGTGATTACCTTCCTATGACCACCCTCAAGACAAGGCCAGGAATGGAAATCGTCTTGAGCTCTTGGCTACAAAGGAGAGCCTATATGTAGAGGCATGAAAACAATTACTTGGATTGGATTGTGACTCTAAAGGCACTTGCTACGCTCTGAGATCACGCCCAAGCTGTCAGGTCCATGGGGAACCCGGATCGTCGGCCTTGGTAATCGACCCCAAAAACACACATCACATCCATGACCCCCGCCGATCAAAGCCAGCATTAATGACCCTGACCAACTTCGCTTGGACGAGCTCCGCACAACTTACACGACAAACAAGCGTATGGACACCAGTCCTATGAACATCAATGTATTTATATGCTCAACAAGATGTATCCTCAGACTTATAAATGGTCATGAGGATTGACGTCATCCACACAAGAACTGCTCTTGGACGCCCACGTTTACGATGACGTATGACAAGACAGAAGTGTGGATTGCTGGAAAAAATAAAGATCGAGCTTTGTTGGTGGAGCTGACTATAAGACCCGCTCGGCAGTATTAATAATATAGGGGTGAGCATGGGTCCGCGCGGCGGCCCCCATGGGACAGCCCGGTCGGGTCGCCCCCCTCAAGCAAATTGGGCCATTGCCCCAGTCCAACAAAGCCTGATGCAGCGAAGCCCGGAGGGCAGTTCGGGAGAGGTGCTTGCACCCGGCAGGCGAGCCACTTGATGCTCTGCTCAGGTTGGGATTATTGAACCGTGTCCGGTGTAAGCGTTGGTGGTTCAGTGGCCAAACTTAGCACAACCCCACCGGAGGTGACTGAACTGAAGGGACGGTCCTACGGTGATTGGCCTAAATTGCAGTAGAGGATCCTAACATTTTTGTTGCAACAGCCATATGTACTTACATACATATAAGCCCCCACATCCTAGAGGCTATGCACAAACCTGTGGAGAGGGAAAGGTGCACTTGCATCCTGTCTTCCCCTCCCTTGACTCCCTTTTCTATCTTTCTTTTGCAACAGCAGATCCTTGCTTTCAAGCTCCTTGCAGGATAATGTGGTGCCTTTCTTCACTATATTATATTGATCAATTTGTTGTGACACATCAAGTTGATTTTGCCAGTGGTGTTGTTTTTTGGGAGCACTGGCTGGGCAGATATGTTATGTTAAGTTACCAAAGCCCTTTCAATTTGGATAATTGTAATGTTTTTTTTTTTATTTCCATTTTCATCCTTTCAGTGAATTTTTCATTTTTATTCTGTCCTGTAGTGTGAAGTAAGCTACAGTTGCACATGGCATTCTATTAGGGGGGCTCATGATAGCTTCTTGCAAGAAACACTTTGTTCTTGCATGAGAAGCCGCAGCACGGCTGCAAACTAACAATTTAGTGTGAAAGCTTAAATGTTTGTTGAGACATTTGATGTCATCCATGCACAAGCAGGAAGAAAGAATAATGGGTGCAAGAAGCGCAAAACATTATTGTGAACCCACTACTGTGTACAATGGTAGGTCAGTCCAAATGGTTGAGGCCAAAAGAAATTTTTTGAGTACTTTGGTTGGTTTGGAGGGGGAGGGGGAGGGGACTAGACATCAGATTGGACCCCCAATCTTGTTTTGTTTATGGTGTAATCCCATGTGTATGGGTTTTAGGTGTCATCATACCTCATGCTTTTTGTGTGTTTCAGGCAATGGGTCTGAATGACCAACCTCAAAAAAAAAAAACTGCTGGGCCAAATTTAATAGGTCATCACTTTGGATTTGGAATCTATGTAGTCTGTAGACTTCAAAAATGCAGCCTTTCCAATGTTTGGCCCCCAACCCAAGCAATGTTTTTCCCCCAAATGAGGCAATCAGTGCTTTCAGACAGCTGTGTACTGATGGCCCTGTGGGACCCAGGTACCAGTTGCTTTTTTTCCAAAAGCCAGCACCAGGTACCACACCTGGCGCTATCTGGCAGGTACCGGTGGTACTTGAGGCGGGTACCCGCTGGAGATGTCACTTTGAACCCGGGTACCCGCCTCAAAAATCACTTTTTTTGGACACCCGCACCCGCCATGTCTGCCAGGGCGGGTACCCGGGTACCTGCGGGTGTGGAGGGGTCTATGGGCCTCATCGGCCGGAAGGGATTCCTTCCGGTCGATGAGGCTGTTCCACCTCATCAATCGGAAGGAATTCCTTCCGGTCGATGGGGTTGTTGTACCTCATCGATCTGAAGGAAATCCTTCCGATCGATGAGGTATAACAACCTCATCGACCGGAAAGGATTCCTTCCGGTTGGTGAGGCCACAACCTAATGTCATTGAGACTGTACAGTCTACAGTCTCAATGACCGGAGGAATCCCTCCAGCCATTGAGACAGTGTACAGTCTCAAAGGCCAGAGGGTTCCCTCCGGCCTCAACAGGCCCATGTAGGACACCAAATGGTGTCCTACATGGGCCGCTGACACCCTGGTAGAGCCCAAAACTCCCAAACTGCATTCCCAGGGCGGGTGTCAGGACGGGTGTCAAGGTGGTTACCCCGCCGTTTTTTGTCCCAAAACTCACACCGCATCGCACCCAGCACCCGCGGGCGGGTACCCGCTCAGCAGACAGGTACCCGCAAACGGGTAC